AATGGGAGAGAAAACAATATTATTGCATCGCCGTGCGTTGGCTGGCCCCGGCGATACTGTCACGTTCCCAAACCAAAAGAATAACTTAAGCAAATCGAAGGTTCCACGAGCATTCCAGCGCCAGTATCAGCTTTCCGAAGCAGAACGGAGCCAACGAGGAGACTGTGATGACAAGGTTGAATCGCTCGGTAAGACGACGATGGAATACTGTCCGCGGTGAATAGCTGGGTAAACATCCAGAAAGGCAAAGGAATAGAAATTTCCAACATCCGAAAGACTGCCTGAGATGCCGCCCACTCTTGGCCATCAAGCGCCAGGGCTGAAGGGCCTAGAACCAACCTAGATCACGCCCAAGCTTGCGGCATTACCTAGGGGCATTCGCATATGTAGTAGCCCTCTTGGGAGGTAAGGCCTTGAATTGGGAAGCTTTTCTGATGCAAAAAGTATCTCCTCACTGGGCATCTAGTTGGACGATACCTACACATTTCCGGACACGTGGCGTGCCGTGCCAGACATGCCGAAACGCAGCACGACATTATGTACAGACAGATCTTTGACCCCCGAAAGGATCCCCGCCATTGATTGATTCATTCCTCCCATCCCCTCTGGCGGGACAGGCGTAGGATGCGCTGCGGAGGCTACATTGCATTACATTACATACGACAGTGCGCACCAGGGCCGAGGAGGAGGGGCCACAGGAATTGCAGCCATCTGAGCTGAAAGGGAAAAGAAAGACGCTCACTCCATTGGACGTCTGACCCCGCGAGTCATTTTCTGACGGCTCTCACCCAATGTAGGTAGATGTGGTAGCATACGTCATGATGAGACTATGGGAATTGCAAGTCAAGCATTGATTAATGGATCTGCCTTGGAGTGGGGGTCGTGCTGGATTTGTGCTTGAGCTGCGAGCAAGCATATATACCATGCTGTTGGAAACCCATCGACATGAGGAATACATGTACACGAGCAGTAGCAGTATACTACCACCCTGATCAGTTACTCTCGACACCGGTAGGTTAGATAGGTGAGAGGTGAGGTGCATAGTTGGACAAACCATTTGGTCCCTGGTGGCCATGCAGCAGACTGTCGATCTCCCGCGGCTCGCCTATACCTGCTCTAGCAAGGATCGATCGCGGGCCTCTTGATGCCAAGACTAGACGAACGAACATCCAAGCATCGCGACGAGCCCAAACCGCCCGATTATTGACCCTAGCCAGTAATAGCACGTGCGGCTCAGATACACTTCAAACATGACCTAGAGTCCTGTTGTTCTTGAGCCCCAAGCATTCTATACGTCTATCGATTCAATCATACGGATGGACGCAAGGAAGCCGTGATTTGTTCACCTTGCAGTACGGTCTATACTGGCGCTATCTACCTATTCTTGTTTTTTGTACTGCTTCGTCCCCGCCTGAGCTGAGCTCGAACAAACCCTCTTAAACCCCTTCAACCTCTTGCTGCGTTTGTCGCGGCTGACTCCGCAGCTGATTGCAACGCCGTCCGGTCCAGTTTCCAATAATGCCAACGCTTTCGAGACACGGGCATAATCTCCCAGGAACCGATGGGCTCTAGCATCTTTTCCATTGGTAATGCCGTGCCCCATCGTGACGGCCCAGACCCGGCCAACCTGGATCGCGTGCGCCTGTGGGTCCGCGTCAGGTTCGAGCAAGATCGAGTAGATCGTGCCCGAGTATCTTAGCGCCTCGGTCGCCACTGCGGCTGGAAAGGTCCATTGGCATGAACCATCGCGCATGATGGGATGCCACGGCGTGACCAGGAGGCTCTCGACTCTGCACATCATGATGTTGCGCATTCGGGTCTTGAGAACCGTCACCACCTTGCGGCTCCCCGCTGCTGTTTGAACCAGATGCCCTCTCCGCAAGACGCTCGCCGGAACGTTCTCGCCTCCAGCCAAGGTGACCAAACTCGAGGCCGAGAAGCAGGGGTTGTCGCTCCTGTTGTACGACGACATGGACACCGCGGTTCTTCCATCGCTGTATTTCGCGTCGGCCTGGAGCTTCAGACTTGGTTCGGGGGGCCGCACCGCTGTGTCAAAGGCAAAGGCCAATGCCTTCTGGCACTTAAGGAAGAGAGGACTGTCGCCATCGTACATCTGTACGCCCGGGTCCTTGAAGCTGTTGCGCATCTGGTGCGCATGCGCATCCCACAGACTGAGAAAGTAGTGCAGCCCCCAAGTCCGAAGGTAATCCTCGTTGAACACGGCCAACTTGATCTGACCTTCCAGGTCCTGCACCAGTGACTTGTTATGGTCATCGCCGAAGCTCTTGGCTGGAAGCTCCTTGTCCAAGCTGTCGAACCTCCTCTGAGCCGCCAATCTGTCTTTCGGCTTCAAATCAACTGCTTTGCGCTCACCGTTTCCTTCGAGGATAAAATACGAGGACAAGTATTGACAGATCATGGCACGGCTTTGATGGTATGCAACTTCCCAGTCTGGTAGCGAGGTCGGTTCAAGCGCATTGCCCTGGGCTTGCAGGATGAATTTCTTGTCCTTCGAGCGCGAGTATTGCAGCCTCGCAGTGATTCCCAGCTCTTCGCTGGAAAGTTTGGACCAGTCTGATCCACTGCTGCTCAGGTAGATCGTCCTGGATTGTCCGTAGTGGATGTTGCCGAGGGAGATTGTGATTCTCTTCCTCTTCTTACCGTCTGGGTCGAGAGCTAGGTCGGAAGTCAATGAGACGAGGTTGTCCGGTTCCTCATCTGCGACTGCATCCTCAGAATTGTTTCGTAAGCCCAAACTCGCGCCACATGTCAAGTCGAGTGTACACTGGTTCGCGAATGTAGACTGTAGATGCGCCACGGCGTTGACCAAAACGGTGCCCTACACCTCATTAGCTACCATCAAGGATCGAGAATATATCATTCATATGACATACCACCATTCCAGCGTCCGGGATGAATGAGTAGTTGCCGCCACCGACTTCTGCTATCGACTTGAGAAGACCTGACTTGATGTCGTTGCCGAATCCAAAGGTGTGAATGGCTGCTGGCAGCGGCCCCATGCTTCGGAGGCCGCCAACATAGCCTTGGAGGGGGACTCTGTGGTTCTTTAGCTTTGATTTGTTATAACCTAGAATTGAGAGGTTTGTGGTTATCCTTACTGGCCGTTGGGCTGCCCGTCTGTAAGAAGTAGTATCGCCGAGTTGCGACGGGATGCTCCGTGACTTCCAAAGAGTCTCACACCTTCTACGATGCCCTGCCAAAGGTTTGTCGAGTTCTCAGGATGCAAGTCTCTGATATGCTCATCGGCGGATTTCTTGTTATCAGGGCTCATGGGCTGCAGGTCTTGAACGACCTACCACGAGAGTTCAGCATTCATCCCAAGTAGAATACGTATGAAGCCGGAAACATACCTCTGCCCTGTCACTAAACTTGACTATTCCGAGCCGATCGCTACTGTCCAGTGCTTCCAGCACCGTGAGTGCAGCGTGCTTTGCTATGTCCAAGACGGAAAAGCCGGGGTGCTCACGAGTCACTGCTCCTTGCTCGTCGAAGCCAACTACAGGGGCTGCCTCGGACATGCTGTAGCTCACATCGATGACTAGGACTATATCGCAGGGGACCTGCGTGAGGGGTCTGTTGTTCGGGCACCGTGGAGGATCAACCTTGACAAGGATCCCACTTCGCGACGCCAAAGGATGTATGGATAGATTACTATTTTGTGACTGTGCGCAGCCATCCTCGGGGGGGCCAGAGCCGCCCTCAGTGGCTACAACGGATCGCAAAACCTGAAAATTGTTGTCAGAGAGCATCATGGAATGTGAGAGGCTTCTTCTTTACCATGGCAGAAGACGTGACCGGCTTGTCGCTTAACGTGAGCAAAGAATCGTCCAGACGATGATTGCAAATTGCCTTCAAGCAGACAAGGTAGTCTCATGTGACTCTTAACCTGCGAATATGTGAAAGAACGTCAAATAAATATACGCTCAGAGATTTGAGTCGGTGTGAGTTACGAAGATCCAACTGTGACGAGGTCAACCAGCCTATATCAACGGGATAAAGGATGATTCGTGCTTCCCAAGAAATATGCTTCGGCCCTAGCTGCAGGCAGCAGTTCCACGTGTAAGCCTGTATGCGAACGTCCCCAGAAAGATGCAAGGATATATTGATTCAAGGTGATCCAGACGGTGGAGGAGGCGATTTTCCGTATGGGGATACTGAGAATGTGCCTTGCGGTATTACATATTATACAAGGAGAGACCATGCTTGCAAAATTATCGCTAAGACACTTTACGTGCTAAAAAAAATAATAAACCTATCCAGATTGACTCGAGGAAGAGTCACCATTCAAGGCGCATGGATGGTGCCAGTCTTATGTTCAAGTTCTGGTTGCCCTAGTCCAATGATACCCGTCGTGGTCATATATTCTTGACTGCAGAAGGAACGTCAGAAAGTAACTTGTTCGTGACTATTACAGAACTCCCTGTCTGGAGCCTTCTCTCTGTACCTACTATGTACGTGATCTTGAGTAGTCAACTTGGCAATGCACTGCCCGTCCCAGTTGTCGCTAGGGGCTGTCATGGCCACGGTCCAGTAAGCTCTATAATAACGAAGTTGGAGCCAAGAAATTGACCGTTATCGGCGCATGGGTCTTGGTGGAAACGGCTATTATACTAGGCCGACATGAAATGTATAAACGGCTTCAAATCTGGCATCGCCACTGCGAAGATCGTACTATCCCATGTTATTCAAGGCCGGTCCGAACTGCGCCTCGGCAAGGCGGAGATCAAACAGAAAGGAAAGGGGGAAAGGTTGGGAACCACTTGGTGTAGCATAGCAGACAATACTGACTTTGATCTTAGTTCAGAATGAATTGAGATTCCAATGTCAGTTAGTAAATATTAAGCGGCGATAATATTTACAATCTGAAAGCATGATTCACATCAAGGCATGGAAACGCCGGCTACGGACAGCAAACAGGGTGGGGCATAGTGACACTAGTGGCATATTTTCAGATAAAGCGCCAACTTGCAACAACCAAGGATGTTGTAGTATAGTGGTCAGTACATCACGTTGTGGAGTGAGCAATCATTCTCCAACCACGGACACCTCCGTGAAGACCCCGGTTCGATTCCGGGCAACGTCATTCTTTTGCCGATTATTTCTTTTTCCTTCCTGGCTAATGGAAGGAAAAACTGTTTTTTTTCCCCTCGTTCCTTCGTAATGATTGTGTGCAAAGGGCCAAAAAAAATGATATTGGCTACAAGTTTATCTGGGTATCCGCTACCAAGGAATGCTCGCTCCCTGGACCGTAAGTAGAGCTTTTATTTGGTTTATCTTTTTTCTTCTCACAAATATAATTATTGGTTTGCCTCTTTCTTGCACTTTGAGTGCTTGGACTTGTACTTTGTAAGCGCGGGGTTCTTCTGCCTGCCCCGCATCATTGAAAGAGGCACTAAAGCGGCCTAATCACCCCACCTCCGTACCTACCTGCCCACAGTGTTCTTTAACCTCATTTTTCTTTGTGGCAGCAACAATAGTCTGGTTATCTTGGACCTCTCTGATTGCAGAGTCGGAAGCATCTTAAGTTGCAATGGTTTGGATCTTGTTAAAGCGAGGAATAAGAAGAGAAGAACATGGTGTAGGTATAGTTTAGGTATATAAAGCGCTTCAGTATTGATTCGCACCCAGTGAAGACCACAAGGACAGAGCGGAGTTACCTTAGTTAGGTGTTACTTTCTGCATTTTGACCCTGAACTTTACCCAGCTCAAATGACCGACTTTGTTGCAAGGAGAATAATATGATCTCTGGGCTGAATAGTCCGGTCTCTGCCATCAATTTGTTTGAGAAAAAACACATCTGGCACACCTGTCAATTGAGCACTTGATTGTATGCAGCAACACAGATAAAGACAGTCAGCCAATCAATTCTCTGATCGAACAAACTAGCCTAATTGGGAAGTTTTCCATTTTGCGCGCCGAGCTCTGCCGCTCTTTTTTTTTTTTTTTTTTTTCCGGGTTGCCTTTCTTCTTCACCCTTCCCTCCTGTCTATTCCGACCGCGCTTTCGATTTCTCCAGCATCCAGTAGGACAAGAATAGTTCCCACAGTCATCATGCCGATCAGCAAGAAGGACAGAGTATGTCGACTACGCACTCGTGTGACAAGATTGCTTGCGCAAATTTACTGACCCTCGACTCCTCTGCAGAGAGCCCGCGAGCAGAAGGCCGGTGAAAAGGCCGGCACTCGCGCTCCCGTCAAGGCCAACGGTCTCCCCGTCAAGGCCCCCAAGCCCACTTCCATCGTAAGGCATCACCAGAGAGACGTGTGACCTCGACGGAGCTCTGCCCATGACTGACACAGCCTGATGCAGTGCCAAAATTGCCGCAAGGAGATTATCAACACCAACAAGATCCAGTTGGAGGTCCACGCTGGCACTCACGACGCCAAGCTCTGGCCCAAGGAGAAGTGCTGGCCCAATGACTTCTAATCTGGCATGGACGAGTAGCTAGCATGCGGCAGACATCCCATTGAGGCGCACTTGCCGGTCGTCCGTGGGAAGTGCTCGAGAGTGTCAGTGCCCTCTCTGCCCTCTCAACCAGAGGGGCAATCATGTACACCGCTTGTCTCGTCGCCGTCGCGGCCGGGCAATGCGGGTGAACGAATATTGGAGTTGCAAGGAGTTCTGCCGAAACAATGGCCAGGAAGTTAATTATTGCATTTAGAGATGGATTCAATCCAAGCAACGGACATTTATGAATCATAGAGACTCATTGGGAATCAACATGTTCTTCTTCCCGCCGTCCACCGAGTATCCGCTCAGACGACAGTCCATCTGTGAAGAGTCCTGCTCATCCCTCCACTGCCACCGGGGAATATGCACATGTGATGCGCGGGCCTCCTCCCCGCGACGTTGCCGCTGTCAATTCCAAGACATGCAGGACATTGCTCCCCGGGACAGAACCATCAATACCTGGCCACCCTGAATCTGTATCTGACCGAAGAAAATGAAATGCCCCACAGGTATTTGAGCCATGATGGCACCGCTCGGCATCAGGTCCCCAGCAATCGAGAAGTAGGCAGGGTGCTGACAGCGCATTCTCCATGGCGACGCCCAGTACCGTAGCTTTGATCGATAGTTCGTCGGGGTTGATTTTTTTTTATAAAAAAAAAAGGGGGGACCAAGAACAAAAGCGAGACAGTCATAAAGAATCTGCTGGATAACTGGAGCGACGCGCAAGACAGCCCAGTCATCGACGGCTCGCCTGCTTCGAAAGAGAAGAAGCGAACGGAGGAGGAGAAAAGGGCGGAGCTTCGAGTCGAATGGTATGGAGACCGAAGAAATTCACCGCGTGCGATTCATGGTCAGCCTACCACGTGAGCTATCTCCTAGGTGAAATGCAAAGGGGGTTTAAGAGCAGGTGATAACTTTTGTGGTATAATAATCAGAGTATGTAGTCTATAAAATATCAAATAATGATCGGGTATTGACACTTCCACTACAAAACACGTTCCCCCCTTCTAAAGCCCTCAAGAGAAAATCAAGAGGAAAAGTGAGGCGCGTTGAGAAAGAGACCCATTAGCACACCTCCCAGGGTACCCGCGATAGGGATGGTCATGATCCAGGACAGGACCAAAAGACCGACACGCTGCCAGTTGACGGCCTTAAATGTGCCGTTGCACAGACCGACACCAACTGTGGCACCCGTGATGCACATGGAGGTCGACACGGGGAGCGAGAACTGCGAGAAGATGAGGACGGTGATGGCAGCACCCATCTCCATGGAGGAGCCACGCGACGGAGAGTGGTAGGTGAGCTTGTTGCCCATGACTAGATATCTTGGTTAGCAAAAGTCAAGTCTTTTGAATTGTCTGCACATTCACGTACCCTTCATAATGTTGTAGCCGTAGGTGATCAGACCCAGCGAGATCATGATGGCCAGCACAGCCAGTTGCCAGACGGGGACGGGGGCCTTGGAGGCAGCTGCGCTGCCAGTCGACCAGGCCGAGTAGATGACGGCCCAGGGACCGACCGAGTTACCAATGTCGTTGGCACCGTGAGCAAACGAGGCAGTGCAGGCTGTGATGATCTGGATGAATGAAAAGGAGTGCTCGACCTCGTTGGGGTACTTTTCGGCGTATGAGTAGACGCGCTGCATGCGAGCACCCTCGGGAGTTCCCTCGACGCCTGTCTGGGCAGCGTGGATGTCGTAGTGGAAACCATAGAGCGCGCCGCAAGTGATGTAGGCAGGAATCCGCTTGAAGAGGATCTTGATGTTGCTGAACTCGTAGATCTCACCCGGGCCCATGGGGTTGTCGCGCAGAGTGCGCATGGCCCAGCCCATGGGACCGCGCTTCTTCAAGAGCCTGTCCTTGAGCCTGCGTTCTCCGGCCTCGGCGAGCTCCTTGTATGTAAGCTGCTTGGCCTCACTCTGCACAAGCTTCTTCTCGTTGTCATCGTGGGTCTCGCTGTTGGCCACGACACCCTCAGCCGACTCGGAAATGGACCGGTCAGAGTGAGCAGAGCTGTGCTCCTCATCGTCTTGCACGACGGCGTAGTTGGGGACCTTGGCCTGCTCAGCACCCTCGACGACGGGGCGCTTGAGGAGAGCAGGGCCGTAGACGAACATCCACCACTTGACGCTGTGGTCCTTGTTGATGACTTTGGCATAGACGTAGGGGACGAAGAACAGGCCCGAGAGGATGAAGAGACCACCACCGACACCCATGACAACGGCCGCAATGTACCAGGACGGCTTCTTGTTGAGACCCAGGTTCGGGGATCCCTTGTAGACAATGGACAGCGTGCAAATGGTGCCAGCGATCAGGAAGAAGAAGGGCGACGCCCACACAGACCAGGGGACGGGGTTCTTGCGCATGTGGACGACGACCTTGATGAGCATGAAGATGGTGGCAGCGAAGCCGGCCGAAATGGCAGGGGCCATGAAGAGACCTGCAAAGATGGCACCGAGACCCTTGCCGTCATACCATCCCCATTGGACCTGACTGGCACCGACGGTTGCGACACCGACACCGGCGACGGCCGAGATCAGCGAGTAGGTCGAAGAGACGTGGGCGGAATGGCGCGTACACCACATGACCCAGGTCGAGGCAGCGGCCAGAGCACAAGTGAATGCAAGCATTTGGACACCAGCGTCGCCGCGGAAAGCCGAGTTGGGAATGATGTTGTTCTTGATCGTGTCGGCGGTGCGAGCGCCGACGAGAATAGCACCGAGGAGCTCGAAGATGGTACCCAAGACCATGGCTTGTCGGTACGAGATGGATCTCGACGAGACACTGGTAGCCCAGGCGTTGGCAACGTCGTCTACACATTCTTGTTAGTCTCTTATCGGTTCAGTCAAAATGATAATATGTGCCATCCGCCTTAGAAGGACGACATTCGCATAGCCCAACGAGACGAGGCAAAGCATGAAGAAAACGGCTGCCACTCACTTGCACCATTGTTGTATGCATCAAGCATGGCAAACAATGTGCCGATAACGAAGACATAAGTGTACTGATCGAGCGCCATCTTGAATGCTGCTGCTGGCGAGCTGGTGATCCGCAGTAATGTGGTGTCCTGGTGGTTTGGATTGCTGACAACCTAGAGCCAGGGACGAGAGGAGCGGGATCGAGAGCTTTTATCTGACTTTCTCTCTCTCTCTCTCTCTCTATCTGTCGCTCCCGCACTGCTGCAGTGCAACGCAAGGTGTCTATCCATTATGCCTTGGCCGTCTTGTCTCTCGAGTCTTGGCCGTCTGTCTTTTAAGTCTTGGCCTTCTCGCAACAACCCACACTTACCGGCTTGGGACACCGACGTCCGAGGATGGCGCATAGAATTGGAAGACATTGACTAGATCGATCCATGATGTGCCAGCCAAACAAGCAGCAATACGGTCGTGCTACTCTATCCTATGCCTGCGCGTTGCGGCATCGTGGGACGTGATTCGCCAGGGGCCGCCAAGATGATGGCGACGGGCAGCCCAGTCGTTGCCCGTCAGCGCCCATCTGTACTGTCGTTTGCGCGGCCTCGAACTTCCCAGAATTTGCAAAGCTGAAGCCGCTACCGAGATATCTATCTTGGCAGGTCTCGAAAGGGAGTTTATATCCGCTATGATGGGTGCGGACCGGAGTATCGCTGAGCCATCGCGGTGCGGATGAGGCTCTTAGCGGGTCTTGGCTGCAGTGTGAGGTCTTCCCCGGCATCTCGAATGAGAGCGCGCCAACACCCCACGTGGGTGTTCAACATGGTCTATATGGTCGATCTCCCGCCAAGACCCTGAGAATCGTGTAAGTCGCCGGAAACGACCGCCAACCACCAGCCCCCCCGGAATGGCGACATTGGCTCTGCGCCGCCGCAGACCGAAGTCTCTGCCTTCTTCCTTCTACTTGATCATGCATGGAACGAATCCGGACGACTAGGGAACACGCTACGGAGTACTATGAAAAGCCCACCCAACGGAACGGCACACAATGGCACGTCTTCGTTGCCGCACGTGTCAACGCTGCTATCTGAGCCGTGACTTCCTATTGGCGCGGCCTGCTCGAGCATGGCGACCATCAACACATGCACGATCCAACTATTCAATTCACACTGGAGAACACGTCCGAAGACGAACAAACTCTAACGGCCTGAACCAAGCCACCGGGTCTGGGCAGAGGCCCCGCCGGTCCTCATCGGTCGCCTGTATCTCATCCGCTTCGAGCGAGTTTTACTTTATGCCAGAGCCTAAGAACCAATGCTGCCTTCCTGGATTACTCGAGTGGGTGTCAGCTCCACAGAGACAAGTGGTGGCCAGTTCGATCGTGACAAAGGAAAATCCGTGACGATGGAGAGAGTGGCCGGGATGACAATCACCCTATTGTGGCAAAGTTCGTCCCGTGGATTCGAGATTCTCCTCTGTTGTCTCCTCGCGGACTCTCTGCGGTCTTGTTATGACTACATATATGGAGCCCTCGATCCTCATGATACATCTGTGGAACACCTGATCATCGTGTACTGGTCTATAATTTCGGACATTGTCCAACTCAGATACTTCCGAGGTTCGTTTGATGGACACATAGTTGGCTCTGTTTCCTTGGCGAGTCTATAGAGCAAGTTTTCGAGTAATTCAAGTCCACGGCACCTGTTCTTCCAGAGTGTGAAGCTGTCACACTGGCTGCAATGCTTTTATCCACCATCCCAACTTCACGCATTCCTGTAGACCATTCATCCAGGTCCAATGAATGGCCTATTTGCTCGAAAGCTCCGAGTCCAGTCACGCGATCAAGTCTTCCCTGGATTTGAGTGATCAGCGCTTCGAGAAACTTCTTGTTAGCGTTTCCGCCAGCCCTGCATATTGCTACCTGCGTCGTATGCATGCAGGGCAGGCGGAGATCCCGTCCATGGGTGGCCTTATGAACAATTCTATAGGCCCTCACGCGTACGACCAAAAGTCCGGGCATACCGCGGACATCTCAAATCAGAAGTTGATTCGCCAACACATCAAACCATGTTCATTTATTGCGGCCCTATAACAGACACCGAACCAAAGCCACACTGCAGACTGTTGAATGGTCTAACTCCGGCATTGTACAGAAAAGCTGTAGTCAGCGGACAATTGACGAGACTGATGAAAGCTAGTCCGCGCTGCTGGCTGAGAGAAAGATGCATTATAATAAATTGCACGCGCCCATCCAACTGAAGGTCCATAGGCTTTGGACCGCATGCGGAGCTCCGTTCTGGTTACGATTATGAGGTATGAGGTATGACTATGTTGGAATCATCAATTTATAGCACGGCCTATGAGTTTGTATGGTATTATGTCAACTACTCGCGTCATTTCTCTTTAGTAATATTGTTTTATTATTCGGACTTGTTGGCATATGCCGCATAGCCCGAACATTTAGGAAGCAATATCCAAAAAAGTCATATGCTAATATTGTTTGTCGATGCTACGTGAACCAGTACGATATTCCACCTATATTGATACAGCAGGATATGTATATTTACGTTGAACTGTAAATAACACGAACTTGAGCTACGTCTACTTTAATATTTATATCGAAAGCATTCGTATATACAATAGCATCGGCATCATGTATGCCAAGCACGAAAAGATGTTCAGATAATTAATTATTCACCTCGATTCTATAACCACACTTAGTTTTCATAATATCGAGGCTTGCTAACAAATCAGAGTAAGTGCTATCTCCTATAGCGTATCCCTTATGACAGGCAATAACAAATTCGGGCGTGGTATATTAGTGCACTTAACCCCAAACAAATAAATACCTATGCATTGACCGCATTGACATATATCTGGAATATCAGTACTGCAAAATACTACCTATTTACAGTCAAGGGGAAAAAAAAAATCAAACAAGGATTCGAATCAAAAATGCTCCAGCCCGGGTTCGAACCGGGGGCCTCTTGTGTACAACTGATGTGAGACAAGCGTGATAACCACTACACTACCAGAGCTCGGTTGTGGATCACTGCATGTATTGAAGCACATAGATAAGGACTCAGGATATTTTCAATTTGAAGCGGAGAGACCCTACGATTGGATCTCTTATCCAACAAAGCCTTCGGCAGTTACGTACAATAAGTAAGGTGACGAATCTGACGAATTGTGTGGGCACGTCACGCTGGCACGGATATGCAGTAGGTATGCAGTTCCCGATGTACTGTACAGTACAGAGACCATGGCTTTATAAATCAAGGGAGGGCTATAAAAACATTTACAAAACACTACTGACCCCGAGACCAAGCAGATTAAATTGCATCTCGCACCTGGCGGCTTGAAGACAAGAGTATAGTACTAGATAGAGTATGCGAACTTATGACTGAAGGCATATCCTTGGTTGCGGGCTGGGCATGGCCCCGCATGGGTGTGGCGTTGGGATTGACCCCTGGGCTGAATTGAGGCTGAAGCTTCTGTAGCTCCCCAGAGGTTGCTGCTGGCCTCCAGTGGGTTGATCGGGGGTCGGACCCGCCGAGTCTGGGGGAGCTTCCATCATTAGTTGGCCGTCTGGGCTTGTCGTTTCGTGTTCAATTGCCAGCTCACTGCTTCCCGACCTCGGGTTTTCAACACCACAACCTCTCGCCATCGTCGACCACGATTGAGGTTGCACCCGCACACTAGAAATGAAGCAAACACAAGCTTTGGTGCTCCTGGGCACCGCTGTCAACAGCGGGCTCGTGGCTGCTGGTTCAGTCCCAAGGGGTGTTGGCCCCGAGTGTAAGTGGTGGCTCCCATTCAGCTATTAGGCGTTGCCGTCACCGTCCCCCTTCATATTCCAGATGACGTCTGGCTCCATCACGGCAGCCTCCCCCGGAGGAATCACCTCATTATGGCATTTCATTCGGATTCAATGTCAAATTCCAAAGGCATTTTGCAATGCTTGTTGCGGAGCTTCACCCCAGTTCACGTGCTAATCGTTTGGTCACACAGTTGTTAGATTCTACGAGCTGGACAAGTTCACCTGCATTGGCCACCCCTCGATAACTATATCAAAGTCCCGTGTCAACGACAACACCTGTGACTGCCCAGATGGCTCAGACGAACCCGGCACAGCTGCTTGCGCATATCTGGACCACCTGTCGCCGTCCCAGCCACTGCCCGCCTCTCTCTCGGGCTCCACCAACACCACCAATGCCCTGCCCGGGTTCTGGTGTGCCAACGAGGGCCACTTTGGCGCCTATGTTCCGTTCATGTTCGTAAACGATGGAGTCTGCGACTACGACCTGTGCTGCGACGGGAGCGAGGAATACAGCAAGGTGGGCGGTGTCAAATGCCAGAACCGATGTGCAGAGATCGGCAAGGAGTGGCGCCGCGTCGAGAAAGAGCGCAAGGATAACCTTGAAAAGGCCAACAAGAAGCGCCGTACAATGGCCAAGGAGTCCAAGGAGCTCAGGCGGCAGGTCGAGGCCAAGATTGAGAAGCTTACCGCCGAGATCAAGGAGCTCGAGCACAAGAGAGACGACCTGAAGAAGAAGTACGATGATGTCGAACGCAGCGAACGGGGCAAGATCGTCAAGGACGCTGGAACAGGAAAGCTGGGACAGTTGGTTGTGCTGGCCCGAGGCAGAGTCAATGAGCTCCGCGATGCTCTTGGCCTCGTTATCAACCAACGAGACGAGTTGAAGGTCAAGGTTGCAGAGCTCGAGGGCATCCTCGCCGCCTTCAAGGAAGAGTACAACCCCAACTTCAACGACGAGGGTGTCAAGAAGGCCGTCAGATCATTTGAGGACTATGCTGCCAAAGTGGTCGACCAGGCAGACGATGCCGCCGAGAATGACGTCACCGAGGTCCTCAAGGAGGACAGCGAAAGCAATGGCATCAATTGGGCCGAGTATGATGACGTCGAGGTCACAGATACCGATATTCGTAAGTTGGATCGAGACTTCCCTCCGCACCCGTCTCGGACTACGAAAAGTACTGACATGGTCCAGTCTATAACCTGGAAGCTTATCTGCCTGGCCCTGTCCGGGACTTTGTACATGACAAGATCAATATCCTGCGCATCTGGCTTATTGAAAATGGAATGCTTGCCGACAGCCCTGCCGGAAAAGGCGAATCTCGCCTGGTCGCTGCTGCCCGCGAAGCTTACCAATCTGTCGAGTCCGACATGAACGGCAAGCAGCGCGAGGTCAACGACAAGAAGAAGGACCTGGATAAGGACTATGGCCGGGATGACATCTTCCGGTACCTCAAGGACAAGTGTGTCAGCACCGACAGCGGCGAGTACACGTACGAGCTCTGCTGGATGGGCAAGACTGCGCAAAAGTCCAAGAAGGGAGGTGGCTCGACCAACATGGGCAACTTTGAGCGCATTGACCTCGAAGAGAGCGACGAAGAAGAGCGACATGACGGCAAAGGTCTCGGCAGGGGTAAGCGTGTGGTTCTGAGGTACGAGAACGGGCAGCACTGCTGGAACGGCCCGAACCGACGTACCGATGTCTGGTTGGCCTGCGCCGAGACCGAGGAGCTCTGGAGAGTGTCCGAGCAAGAGAAGTGTGTCTACAAGATGGAGGTGGGTACACCGGCCGCATGCGAGGAGGCGGTCGAGCCTGGAACACTGGGACGAGATGAACTGTAAAAAAAAGAACGGCCTCAGCACAGAGCCGCCCAGCGCACATTTGTGTAACATAGAAGCAACTTAGACGGTTGAGGTGGGAAGATTCGATTTACATGATCGAGCGATTCCGCGAGAATAGAATACTCACGACACGTTGACTCAACTACATATGTCGCAGTGATTATTGGTATAATGTTTGATGAAGTGATACATCTACTCAATATCGAACCCAGGTCGATTTTGTGACAAATTATCTCCATCCTGTTAAACGGAAGATCGTTTTCAGATAACTGAATGACAGGAACGGCCTCTGTACCAGAATAACGTAATGGTCCAACATGCCATCACCTCACGACTTCTCGTTTCAGTCCCTCATTGATCTTGCGCCGCTTATTATTTTCCTCTTGCTCCGCCAATACCCGCGCCGTCAAGGACGCTGTCATTGCATTGTTGATACGGCTGTCGATACCGTTGGCGCCCCTATCTTTCTTCTCCTTCTTGCTCTTGACGCTGGAGGTGTTTTCACCATCGCCATTGGCAGCATCCTCGGCCTTGCGCTTCTTTTTATCCTTCGTCTTGTCCTTTTTTAGGCTGTGCGTTAGACCCTTGGCCTTCAAATTCTCCAATCTCTGCTTCAACTTCGTGATCTCATCTTCGACCGTGGGCAGAATTGGTATCAAGTTGCTATCTTGAAAGGGCTCGCTGCACTCGGGGCAATGGCGCTCACTGGACTCTTTGGCTTCCGACTCGGAGATCTCCTTGAATGCGACATCGGCGAAAACATGGCCGCAAGGAACAATATATGTCGCTTTCGTGGAGGCACCGAGCTCCTTGAGACTGATGGGACATGCCCTGAACTCCCGTCCCTTCTCGTCCTTGCGCACCACGAATTTCACCCGTACGACGTCCTTGAGGCTCTTGATCCCCGATTCTTGATATGCTTCTTCCTGGGCCTCTAGCACATTTGCGTCCTCGCTTGGCAGGAGGCATTGTAACACCGACTCGTAGTTGTAGAGGCGCCCGCGACCGTCAGACACGGTGTTGGAGTAGTCGAGGGGTAGTGAAGACAGCGGGCAAAAGTTCCACAAGTGGGTGAGAGATTCGAGCAGCGTCTCTTTCAGCTCGGTGGCCGTAGGGGCTCGGGCGGCCTCTTTGACCAGCTCGCGACGCTTGGGAATGGAACCACCGTCGTTTCCCATGATGACGTACGATATCGAGGGCAACCCGGCTTCTGATTCCTTGACGAATGTGCCGACCGATTCTTTCGGTAGATACCTAGGCAGTCGGAGAGGCTATCGGCCTCGCGCCGAAAACAGAGAAATGTGGTTTGGCGCAAACACTGTCGGTCGCCGGCGACGTTTTGCGCAATCGCAACCACAGGTGCAAGTGCAACAAGTGGTTCGAGCTGATGTAAGTAGAGTTTTTGTTTAATCAGAGGCCACAGAGAGACTTTTGGTGTTGGGGAAAGAGAATCTAGATGGCAGTAGGCAACTTGCGTGATGTAGCAGTAGTACCTGGATGTGGAAATGGCAGTTCTAGGTATTGATGTGACACCCGAGTTTGGTTGATAATGCGCTAAACTTTGACTTCCGCTGCCTAACTAGCGAGCCTAGCTTGACCTGCCCTGACCCACATTGAGACCCGTCAGGCCGTTTGGGTTTGGGGTCATCAATTCCAACGCCCGCCATTGATCTATGACTGGGACCAAGACAAACCAAAAGTTCCATCAATTGCTGTTCGTATCACAAAACCAGTCTTCTGCAAAAATACCTGTGCTAACAATAGCCACCAGCAGGAAGACCATATCACGTCTTCTTTTCTATTCATTCATCCCTGGTCTGCGACATCGAAACAACCCCGGAGCTGACTCGAATCGGTTAGCGACGCTTCAAAAGTTCCTGCTGATAGCGATAAGAGCTCAAGCCTCAAGCAGCCGGGGTTGCTTTCAGTGCTTTCTCAACAAAGTACACACTCTGCTCGGGCGGCAACACACGCACTGTGTAGATCAGCAACTCACGCATCAGGCTCACAGTCAGAAAAACACCACCTGTCCAGACTGGATACCTCCCATCAATAGTTCCATCCATCCATCAGCTGGACCAAGCCAGCGCAGAGCAGCGTCGGCGGGTGCGCATGGGCATTGTACCCCGAGAGGGCTTGGCGCGACGACCGACCTCTGATGCATGCCATCAAGCAAGCCCTCGCACTCACTGTCTTGTGAGCTCCTGAACGAACGAGACGAGACGACTGGAGTCTCTACTCATCTTTTCCTACCCGCGATCCCATCCAAGTCCCTCCGCTACGCCGTGTGGTTTCGCAGGTCTCGACGCATCCTCGAATGCCCACCTAGAACAGAGGTACAGCCATCTGCTGGTCGAATGAAGCCGCGCGCCCTCGTTG